GGCCCGAGGGGCTGGGAGAGGGTCCGGCCCATGCTGCGCCTGGGCTGGGACTGGTCCCGCCGGCGCAGGGTAGCAGGAAACTCTCCGCACACTCAACGGACCTGGGCTAGGACTGGGTCATTCAGAGGAATTCTAACAAACATTTCAAATGGCATTTTTCATAGAAAAATAAAAAGATTGCGCAAAGTTGGTATGGAATCTGAAAAGACCCCAAAGAACAAAAGCAAATGAACCAAGCTAGATGCATTACATTCTGTGGTTTCAAAATAGATTATAAAGTTATTATAATAAGGCAGCACAAGATAGGCATTAAAATAGGTACATTGGCTAATGGAACAAAATCAAAATCTCAGAAAGAAACCCAAACATTTATAATATACTCAATTGATCTGATTTTTCACAAACATGTTAACAAAATACAACAGGGAAAGGACAGTCTCTTCAGTAAATTGTGTTGGGAAAACTGAATCTTCACAAGCACAGGAATGAAACTGGACACTCATCTCACTGTATATAAAAAACCTAGCTCGATATGGACCAAGGGGTTAAAATATGTAGACTTAAATGTAATGCTTCTAGAAGAAAACTTAGGGGAACAGCTCTAGGACATTAATCTGGAAGGTGATTTCTTCACTAGAACTCCAAATATAAAGACAATAGAAGCAACTGTTGACAAAGGGATTGCATCAAAGGTAGGCTTTTTGTTTCTTTAGTTTTCTTTCTTTATATAACCCAAGAATGTACAAGTAAATTTACATATATATATGTAAATTTACATATATATATGTAAATTTATATTTTCCACAAAATCTTCTATGTAGTTTAGGTTAGGCTTGAACTCTCAATGTATTCTAGGCTATCCTCAAACTCATAGCAATCTTCCTGCCTCAGCCTTCCAAGTGCTGGGATTATAAGAAGAGTGTCCCCCATGCTGGGCTACTATAGATATTTTGGACAATAGAATAAAAAGTTCTTACAAACCTAAAAATAGATTTACCATTTTGCTCTCCTACTTCTGGCATACAAGCAGAGTAACCGAGCTGCCTATGTGGTAGTATTTGCCCTGCCATGTTCGCTGCAAAACTATCTACAATAGCAAGATATGGAAGCACCCCAAGAGTCCATCAGTGGATGAGAGATAAGGCCTACAGGATGTATGTGGAACGGCTACAGGCCTAAAACACAAGGAACAGTCTGATATGAGGAGGAACTTATCAGCTGGGAAGAAGATAAGTGTTTCCCACCTGAGTGGGTCTTGGCTGCCTGCAAGGAGATCATTCTTCAGACTCTGTGGCACTGTCCCCTGGTCCGTTGCATCCTGACCTGGTCCCCAAGAAGAACAGAGGGTGCCCTGTTCACTCTGCTGCACTTGTTGGACAAGGCAGGGCTGAGAGGAGGTAGACTGAGGCCTCTGTGCCCATTGTTTGGGGCTCTGCTGGGGGCAGCACTCAGAGACCAGTGGGGTGTCCTAGAGACTTCACATTGTGCTGTCCTGGTGGCTGGAGCATGTGCTTACCAAATCTCTATTTGTTCCTCTACATTTCTTTCTAACATGAAGGATCAGAAATTTATTAATTATTTGCATTAAGCATCAGCATGATACTGCCAAAATTTTTGAATCACCCTTTGACAATCCACTTCCCCCTTCTGTGCCAAATTGTTGATCAAGAGTGTTTCAGGTAAAGACAGACTCCCCTTTTATTCTTTTGCATAAAATATATGAAACACAGGCAAAGGGTTGTGGAGTATTGCACATGGCTACAAAGGTGGAGGCTGCCCACGCTGTCTTCACTGCCAGGTCCTGAAAGCCTCTTGTTCATGAATGATCTCTTAGCAGAGCAAGTCTTCCACTTGCTGAATTTATCATCCTGAGCATCAAAACTTCTTGGTACAGCCTCCATTGAGCCTTTTGCCTTAGCCGCTGTGGGAAGGCTCTCACCATGTCATCTTCCTGTTCATTAGCAGGTATGGCATAAATTTTGGTGAATGGAAAACCACGTTCTCCAGTGTTATGGTCTGTGTCTAGTTGTCCCCTCAAAGCATCTCATAAGTCATGGGGTGGATGCAGCTGAAAGAGCAGAGCATGGCATGAGGGGGGGGGACCAGAGAAGCTTGAAAGTTAAATTGGTGGTGCAGCCCCCCCAACCTGTGACCTTTTTGAGGTGTGGAAAGGGTTATCCTGGACACCTCGGTGCCCCAGCCTCTCCTCCAGACCCTATAACGCTGGGCAGCAGTGTCTGAGATTGAGCCCATCTCAGGCAGAGAGATGTTTGGAAAAGACAGAGTCACTGACCCTCTCTGCTGAGCGACTAAGGCTCTGAGGTCTTGCTGTGTAATTCGGGCTGTTTTAAACTATGAAACCTCCAGTAACTGTGAGCTAAATAAACCTTTTCTTCCTTCATTTTGAGTGTCGGGTATTTGTCCCAGCAATGAGAGAAGAAAAACTGAGACACCCAAGAATGGGAAAATTAGTCATTCCCAGTGTATACATTTATTTTTCCCCTTGCCTTTTGGAATTGCACTTCTGGAGTGTCTCTAGATACTCGGAAATGTAAGTTATACCGCCAAAATCCTATCAGCTTGATGCTTAATTTCACAGTTTTTGAGGAAGATCTTGACCTTGAAGTAATAGATGTTCTACCCATCCACAGTATGATGATTTCTCTCTCTCTAGGGGCAAGTCCTTTGAAATGACTCCTAGAGGAAACAGCTCTATATCTTGAATGAGTTTGATGCCTGGTCCATGAGAGAAGAATGGAAAGCCAGCACTTTAGCCATGCTAGGGTTTTAACCCAAGGACCTGGTTAGAATATGGCCCTTCTGGTCTGGAGCCTGGTGCAGCTGTCCTATTGTTTTGGACCTCAGCAATTACATGAGGCCTCGTGACAACATTCTAGTTATAACACAAAGGCAGTAATTTTGCCAGTCTGGACTACTGTGGGGAAACTGCGTGTGCTTCTCTTTCTTCCTTGCTGTGGCAGCTGAGGAGGCTGAGAGGTGGCTGCCATGCCATGCACTTCTTGTGGCTGAGATTCAAGGGGAGCCCCAGTTACTGGGTCAGGACTACTTGCTCCCTTATGATTTTTCACACCAGTATGGCTGACTGTCTCTTTTTTGGGGGGTGGTACCGGAAATCAAACTCAGGCCCTTGCACTTGCTAGGCCAACACTGTGCCACTCCTACATCCCTGGCCCTTTTCTCCCTCATGGAACACATAGTGTGATTGAGGCACAGTCTCTCCAGTTCCTAGTCACAGAGCGGTGCAGCTGTCATCACATTGCACCTATCCTACCTTAACTAATACACTCCCTTGACAGGGGAGAGAAAACACTTTTGCTATCATTGGTTATCCATCTGGAGTAACCTTTCACCCTTAGCTTACTGCCTTAGAGCAAATCCTGCACTGTCACGATTTCTGGGAGGCCAGTGCCCACAAGAGGCTCAGCTGGGCCTTCTTGCTCTGGTCCTGCAGACTGAGATCAAAGTGTGGGTTTGGTGTCACCTCTCAAGGCTGGAGGAGGAAGAAGCAGCTTCAGGCACCACTTGTGGGACTGCAGACAGGAGCCTGACCCCTACAGTGTGGATGTAGCCTGGAGGACGCCTCAGGACCTCACCACCTGGGCCTCCCCACAGGGCAGCTCACGACAGGACCACTGCTTCATCAGCACCAGCAGGAGACGGTGAAGGACAGGAAGTGGGTGTGAGCCAGGGACTTGTCCTGTGTAGTTGGATCCAGTGATGCCCCCACCCTTTTCATTGCTCTCTATGCCTCAGAAGCCAGTCTCTAGCTGCAGTGCACACGCCAGAGGAGGGGAGTAGACATGAAGAGGGCATCCTTGGGAGCTGCTTTAAAAGCTGCCTCCTACAGTTAGGCACTAACCCTGTGCCCAGTGGTGTGCTAGGTGCTTTTGATCTACAAGCTCATTTAGTTCTCCTGCCATTAGATGGCAGGAAAAATAACCTGAAGCCTAATCAGGTTGTGTACCCATCCCATGTTGCACTGCAAAGAACCTGCGCTCAATCCCAGAAATGCTTCCCATGGGGCTCCCTTTCTGAGAATAGAGAGAACATACTGAATGAATTGATTAAAAAGAATGACTCGGTTTCCCTCCCTGCCTCTAGCTGAGGAAATGCTCATGTTTCCCCTTTCTATGTTGTAGGTGTCTGCTGTAATCCAGCCAAGGGCTCTGGAGCCCAGGGTCCTAGGATTCAGGACTCTCACACCCCCATTCTTCTGAAGGGGATTCAAGGAGGTTCTGTCTGGCTCCATGTGCATGAGCAGCCAGGAGGAGATCTACAATCCAACCTGACAGAGACTTCCTGGAGCTTTGCCTCTGGATCCCAGTACACGCTGATACTGAGAGCCGAGAGAGGGACAGGTGACACTCTCGACTTGACCAAACTCCAAGACATGTACAAAGCAAGGGTCCAAGTGCCCAATATGACATCCGTGAAGATTGAGAATCTGACTCCACAGGACAGTGGGAACTACAAGGTACATGGCTTGTTGACTGGAGGAAAAGAATTTACCCAATATTTCCACCTCAAGGTCTATGGTAAGTGACACCTCCTCAGCCTAACACCATGGCTTGCTTCTTGTTTTGATCCTAAGAGATTTAGGCTGCCTTAAGCACGGATCTGGAGCAGCATGTGGAGCTGGGGATCAAGCCGCGGACTTCTGCACCTGACTGAGTGTGCCCAAGCAGGTGCTTTAAACAACTGAGCTAACCTGCAAGCCCCCGAGGCAATTCATAGATCAAATTTTGGAGGATTCTGTTCAGATTCCTGCCACCAGTGTACAATTTCTCTCCCAAAACAGGATGTGTTCAATACAAACAAAGAACAAAACTGTGATTTGCACCAGAGAGAAAATCACTGCAGAGATTTGAGGGAAAATGGAAATTTGGTGATATTTGCAATATCATTAAAAGAGGTTTAAATTTACTTAATGTGTCTGTTAGTTTTCTATTTCTGCTGTAACAAATTAACACATGCTGTCGGCTTAAACACCACAAGTGTATTATCTTAATATGCCATGTCGGAAATCAAGCACGGTTCCCACTAGCCTGAAATCACAGAGTCAGCAGGGCTGTGCTCCCTTCAGCAAGCTCCAGAGGAGAGCGGTCCATCCTCTCACCTTGCCACCTGTCTGGTGGTGACTAGAGTCGATGTTTGGTAACCTCCCCCTACCTGAAGCTACATGGCCGAGCTTTAGCCGTCTTCCACTGCATCCTTCACACTTGCTCTTTTCTATTTTTTGATCATTTAGTTAGTTAGTTAGTTAGCTAATGCAGGGTCTCACTACGCAACTCAGGCTCATAGTGATACTCTTGTCTCATCCTCCCCAGCCCTGGGATTTCTGGCACACAACACCACACTCAGTTTTGGTGGCCAGCACAGCACAGCATGGCTTGCATACCAGGGATTGAACCTGGGTCCTTGTGCTTGCCGGGCGATAGACCACTGAGCTATCTCCCCAGCCCCAAACCTGCTCTTTTCTTTTCTTTTTGCAGAACCGGGGATTGAACTCAGGCCCTTGCGCTTGCCAGGGAAGCGCTTATTCCACTGAGCCATCTTCCCAGCCCCAAACCTGCTCTTTTCTTTCCTTCTACTTTTGCCAATCCTAGTGATGACACTTGGCCCATCTGGGTCATCTGCCGTTATCTCCTTTTTTTCTTCATTTTTTTAACCCTAAATTAGTATAAGTAAACAAGGATTCATTTTAATAAACTTACTAATATTTCTAAATTATAGCACATATTTTAGTTAAAGGAGATCAGTCATTTCTTTTTTACTTTTTCCTCTTATGAATTTTATTTTTTGAATGTTCTATACATACTAGCATCATTTTTCTTGCAGCTTTTTTAAATTAAAGTTTTAAGTTTTCCTAGTACAATTTAGCTGTCCATGATGATGATATTCCTCACAAGGAAATTGGATCTGTCCATGGTATATCTTGATTCCTCTTTTTCCCCTCCTCTTCCTTCAATTCCTTCTTCCACTCATTATTTAAAAAGCTTTGCTTCCATTTTACCCTTCTTTTCTCAAGTTTTTCTTTTCCCTTCCTTTCCTCCTTCTCCTTCCCTAGAGTCCTTTTCCTCCTCTTTCACATTATCTATTAGATATTTTGGTTCATATTTACACTTCTAGTTTCTCATGCCAAAGAGACTTGCACTTTTTGCATGTGTTTGTTCAATTTATTTGTCTTAATAGTATCACTTCAAGGTGCATGTAATTTGGTATAAATGTCTCATGTTTATCCTTCTTTATGGCTGTATAGCAGTCCACTGTATAAAAACACTGCATAATATTTCTCCATTCATCATTTGATGGTATATGGGTTGTTTCCAAGATTTGTAGATCAACTCTAATGTGTAACCTACTGTATTTCCGGGTTCTGAGGATTAGGATGTGGTATTCAGTGGTTACCATTTCCCAGCACAAGTAAAAGCACTAAATCTGTGTATATCCCATCCTCCTGTGCTTGCTCCTCCTGCACAGCTCCAACTCTAGGTCAGGATTAAGATTCCACCACTCCAGCTCTCAAGGCCTAACACTGATGGGAATGTTTCCTACTATACTCATTAGGAAATCTGCTTCGCTGACTGTTTCCTTAGAATTCCTCTGTGTACAGAAAGCATCTATCATGCAGGCCAGCGTTTACAGCAGGACATCTCCTGTGTCTCCCGGGCTCCCCTGACTCTGGTCTTGCTGTCTGGGGCACAAATTCAGGGCATGTTCTAACCATATGCAGAGTTGTCGTCCTGGCTCTGACTACTACACATTCACAAATGTCTCTGCTGTTGAGAGCTGGAGCTTTCTGTGTCCTCACAGAGACGTCCTGCTGCCCTGCTCTGGAGGCCTCTGCTGTCCCTGGCCGTGTCTGAGCTGGAGCTGCAGGAAAGTTTCCGAGACCAGGATGAACGCTTCTTTCTCAGCCTTTCTCCCCCTTCCAGAAAGGAGCCAAATTATGGTCCATCAAGGAGTACCACGCTACCCTCCGCTCACAGGAAGATTTTAGGATTTGCTTAGTTAGGGAAATCACACAAGGTTTCTGTTGAATATTGTCATTTGATCAACATTTAGCTGGACGCAGATTGTGTTTTATTTGCAAATGACTCCTTCCTTCCTCATAGAGCATTCTCCTGGGCTTCAGTGAGATACTGTGTGACATATAATATATTCCACATGTGTGGAACTCTTCTTTGTCCCCCTCTTTCCCAGAGCCTGTGTCTCCTCCAAAGAGCCTGGTCAAGGCACTGTCCATCACAACAGGCTGGTGCAATGTTACCCTGGAGTGCAGGGTCACAGGGGCCACAGAGGACCTGAATGTGACCTGGGAGAACAGGGGTCTCCCCAGAGAGCTGGAGCAGAGATGGACACTAACACCAGGCCCCAACACCTGGACCCTGGCTGTGAGCCTGCCCCAGAGCCAGGCCGATGCCAGCCTCAGCTGTGTCATCAGCAATCCCATGGACCAGAACAATGCTACCTCAGACCTTAGTGACATCTGCTCACAAGGTAAGTGCCACCATCAGGAGGAGAGTGCATTCCGGAGCTCAGGGGGCAGTGGCAACTGGAGATCCCAGGCTTTTCTTCTGCCCTGTTCATTAGCACCACCACCTACACATGGCCACCCCATGCAGGAGTCTGAACACACTTCCATCACACATCAGTCGTGTAAATGTCCCTCAACCCCTGCCCTTTCCTGCGGTCCAGGCAGCAGCCACCCAATGCCTCTCCCACCCCATCTGTTGTTCACTGTGGGTATCGAGGAGGCTGTGGGAAAGCAGATCAGACCGTGGCGTGTGTCAGGGTCATCACTGGCTCTGACCTTCAGTTACTCCCTGAGCACCCAGGGCTCACAAGTCCTCTGCTCACGTTGTCCACTCACCTGGACACTTCACACAGAACTGCTGCTGCAGTCCCTGATTGTGTGCTGCCCTAGAGAGCCTTGAAAGTGTCACCTGTTTGAGGTTGTCCACGCCACTACACACAGTAATGGTCTGTGTATTTGAACCTTCTATAAACCAGAATGCCTTCAGGGAAGAGGACATTTTTTTTCTCTCTCTCTTTGCTCTCTGGGCCAAGTACTCCAAAAATCTTTTGCTTACATTAGGTATTTTATTAAACAACAGAATGACCCAGGAGCTGTGTGCCACGTTGTCTTCTTCTAACCCTTCATCTAGGAGCTAGTGTAGACATCTGTCATGTCAGCATCAGTTCTGATCCCTTTCTCCACCCTCCATCCACCTCTTGTCCAGGAGTCTCAAAGTTCCACTCTTACCACGACCCCTCGTTCTCCAGACTCAACTTGGGCCTCCCTGTGACCCTGCTCACCCACAGCTCCTCTCTGCCCTGCCCCTCCCCTGCGGAGAAGCTCACTTCCCGCTGAATATCTGTGAAGCTCCCACTGTTCCCCCAGGACTCAGTTTACCCTAAACCTTTCTTTAGGAAGCTTTCTTTCTCTGAAGGCCTTGTGCAAAGTTAAAGCTCTGTGGTGGTGGGAGCCCTTTGTCTGGAAGCTGGCATTTTTTGTCTTCCCTCCAGAAGTGGGATTTCTCAAGGGCACCAACGCTACTTTGTTCATTTCAGTGACCCAGAAGGGCATCTTAGTGAATCATGAATTTTTGTGCTCCTCCCATTCAGCTTCAGAATCAGGGACTCCAACTTCACCTTTCTTTCCTCTCACCCTGGCGGTGGGTATCTTGACTACTTTAACTGTTCTTCTTTGTTTTTTCTTAACATAATTCACACAACAGCTTGCACTTGTGATTCTCCTGTCTTCAGCCTCCCCAGCATTAGGATTACAGGTGTAGGCCACCACGTCTGGTCTTGGTGGCTGGCTCAGGATGCCTGGGGGTGGGGCTGGCACAGTGTGCAAGACCAGGGATTGAATCCAAGTCCCGGCACTTGCCTAAGCAGGTGCTTGGCCTGCTGAGCTATAGGTCTGGCCCTCTTCAACCATTTTTACTCTCTCATTATATGGGAAACAGGTATATCAGGACAGCCCATAGCTAACCTCATACGAGGCTGTATGGTGGGATTCATGACTGTGCTTTTGCTTCTTGGAGCTGGACTATATCTTTGGAAGATTCATAAGAAGAAGAAAATGGCAATGAAACAAGGCAAGTTATACTTCCCCTTCAGGACTCTGAGATCTTGCTCTCTCCAACTGGACCCTGGGCTCCCTTTGCTCTCCACTTTGCTGCCAGGAAGTAAGTCCTGCAGAGGTGATAGAGGGTATAAGCATGGTGGTCTTGGGTTCCTGGTGCAGGGGAACATTACTTGTTTGTCAGGCACAGAATCCAGCTCCATTCTGTCAATGACTCAGGTGCAAGATTGGAGCGGGACCAAAACGTCTGTGATCATGACATCATGTATGGAGAGGTTACAGATCAGAAATCTCAGGAGCACAAGGACAAGGTGAGATCTGGGATCGGTGGCCAGCCTGGTCACTCACAGATCACCCATTGCCCTGCCTAGTCTCCCTAATCTCAGATAGTACCTATTTCTGTCCCCACTGTTCCTACCTCCATTGGTAATATGAACAGCATGAACTAAGCACAATTATAACTGACTGGTCTAGTGCTTGCTGCTTTGAAGGAATTCATAAGCATTTCATATTAATGGACATTGATGGTATCTAGGTGCCTCTTGGGACACTGTATCCACCTCCAACTTCTCCAGATCCTTCTGTTTTACATTCCCAGGGTATGGATGAATAACAACTAGAAGAAAAAGGGCCACTCACGATAGTCTACAGTGAGGTTGATGACCTAAGCAAGCCTTTGAAGATGATTTAATTGGATGAAACAGAGAACCAAGCACTCCTGGGACAACTGCACTCTGAGGCTGACACCTGCAGTCACCTACTGGCTTTGTTTCAGGTCCTGGTGCTCTTGGTCTGTAATAGGCTGACCTGGTGGCCATTCCTCCCTGAACACAGGTAGTCTAGGCACTTCTTCCAGGAGCCCCAATTGTTTCTGCATACTCAGGATCCTCATGCCTGCCTCCAGGTGAGGGTTCTTCCCCAGTCATTGACCTGGCCCCTGAGTACTCTTCCCTATTACTTTTTCCATGAGAACCCTGCCTGACCCTGCAGGGGAAATCCCTGCCTCCACTGCTTTATCATAAGTCTGTGAAGAGTTGTTGATGGTGCTCCAGAGGACAGAGTTAGGATGGGTTCAGGGGCACCATTGCTGAAGGGGGAACCAGTATGGGTGGGAAATCAGTCTTCTTTTGCAGACATTTTATAGGGTGTGTGGGGGGGAGTTTCTATGGCTTCTTCTCCTTCTCTTCCTTCCCTTTCCCTCCATCTCTTTGTCCTATTCTCATTTGCAAAAGATCTATCTCCCCACCTTTACTATTTACTACCTTTTATTTTGCTCTTTATTTATATTTTGCATTTCTCAAATAAGAAACGAAATTCAATATTTAAACTTATGTGTCTGATTTATTTCACTTGGGAAGAAGATATCCTCATTGTACAGATGGCAGAATATAAGCCAGACATTTGATGTCTTCATAGTTCTCCACACTTGAGTGTGGTGGAGACATAATATGGGGCCACAGTGCATCATAATTCATTTGTTTTGACCATCTTTCTCTACCTGTGCCATCCAAATTGTCATTATTATCATTGCTTTTTAGCTTTTTCTTCTTTGTTAGGCTTCAAGTCTTTCATTCCTTCCTGGTTAGTTTTATGCGTCAACCTGACTGGCCTCTGGGATGCCAGCATCATTGGTGAAGCTTTACTTCTGGGTGAATCTGTTTTCAGAATTCAGCACTTTAATTACAAGACCGAGTAAAGAAGATTGCCCTCACCAATGTGAACAGAGATCATTCCATCTCACGAGAGTCTCAGTTGACCAAAAGTAGAATATGGGCTAATGGATTTTCTCTGCTTCAGTTCAGCCTTCTCCTCCCGCAGACATTGACACTTCTTGTTCCCGAGCCTTTGGACTCAGACTGGACATATACCAACTGGTCATACACCAGCACTCCTCTGATTCTCAGGCCTTTACATTTGAGCAGGAGCTATACTTGCGATTCCTGAGCCCCGGCATGCACACAGAAGAACTTGGATATTTTGGCCTCAATAGACCCTGAGCCAATCCTCCGTGTTAAAGGACTTTCCATATTATACATATACATTGATTCTGTTCCTCTAGAGAGCCCTGATTCATGTACTCCCTATTCTCCAGTCCAGCTGCACCATATTTTTGCCTTCCTACCAGCAATGTATGAAAATTTCTCCATGTCCATTCTAGATCTTATTATCTATTTTATTGGTGACATCTGGCCTATTACATGGAAGTAGTATCTTATTCTGATTTTGATTTACATTTCTTTAATGACTAATTTGAGTGATATCTATTAATGTCTGTATGACCATGTGTATACCTTCTTGGGAAAAAACCCCTTCTGTCCTGAGTTCCCTGTCAGACATACATTGTCCCCAGCACTGCATTGAAACTGCTGTTTTCCAGGTCACCAGGAAACTCTACATCATTAAGCCCAGTGGTCAGCTCAGAACCTCATCTTCCTTAGCACCTCAGGGCGCTGTCCTCTCTACTCACCACTCTTTTCCTCCTACTCAATAGCTGTCACTTTGTTTCTTTTCATGGGTTTCTTCTCATCTCTCCCACCTGTAAACTGTGGAAATCCCAGCGCTCAGACCTATTCCACCGAGGCCACCTGGCTTCACCATCGACCCTTTCTCTTTCCAATGTTCTGGTCACACTCTCCTTGGCTCCTGAGGCTTTACCTTACACAGCAAAGTGGACTTTGCAGCTGCACTCAGTGTTAGAGACCTTGAAATGTGTAGCTTATCGGGATTGTCTGAGCAGGCCCAAGCTAGCAACCTGGGATCTTAAGTGTAAGATCAAAAGGCAGCAAAATGAGTGAGAAAGGTAGGATGCGGAAGGGACTTCATTCACCATTCCTGGCTATGAAGATGAAAGAAAGCAAGTGTAGGTCAAAGAAATGTAGTTTTGTGACGCAAAAGACCCTCAATTTACAGCCCGCAAGAAATGAAGACCTGAGCATGCCACGCTGGCCCTGCCCCGCAGGTGCACTGAGCCAGCGATGGAGTCCAGGCTTGGTAGCGTACCTGTAATCCCAGCACTTGGGAGGCAGAAATCAGGAGGATCACTACGAGTCTGGGCTTCATAGTGAGACCCTGCACCAAAAAAAAAAAAAAAAAAAAGGAATGAAGACTTGAGTTTTCTTTTTCTAAGTTATTATTAGGTTTGTTGATACAATGACCACATTCATCATTGGGAATCTGTATGTGTCTACGATGTACCTGGGTTCCTCTTTCTCCCATTTCCCTCCCCACCCTTCAGTTGCTCTTCCACTCCTCATTCATGAAGTTTTGTTCCCATTTTATCCTTCCTTTCTCACTTTTTTCTTTTCCCTTTCCCTTCTCCTTCCCCAGCCCTACTTTGGAATAATTTCTTCCTATTTCATAATTTCTATTATATGTTTTGGTTCTTATTTACACTCTAATTTTCTCATACAAGAGGCAATGTGATATTTACACATACACATCTGATTTTTTTTCACTTAAGAATGTGGCCTCAAGATGCATCCATTTAGCTATAAATGTCTCAAGTTTATCCTTTTTATGGCTGAATAGTACTCCATTGTATAAAAATTCCACACCTTCTTTATCCATTCATTGGTTGATGGGCATTTGGGCTGTTTACAAGATTTAATAATTACAGGATGGAGGAGATAGCCCAGTAGAATAAGTGCCTGCCTAGCAAGCATAGGATCCTGAGTTCAATCCCTGGCACTGAGAAAAAAAAAAAGATTTAACTATTACAAACTCAGCTACTATAAATATGGGTGTGCATATGTTGCTGGGGTATGATGCTTTTAATTCTTTTGGGAAGATACCAATAAGGGGGATAGCTGGCTTAAATGGGACTGCCAGTCCTAGTTTTTTGAGAAAGCTTTACACTGGTTTCCACAGTGGTTCCACCAGTCTACTTGTCCACCAACAGTGGAGAAGGGTTCCTTTTTCCCCACATCCCTGCCAGAGTTTATTATTGGTTGATTTCTTGATAATGGCTGTTCTTTCTGGTGTGAGAGGAGTCTCAGCACTGTTTTTATTGGCATCTCTTGAATGACCAATGACATTGAGCATTTTTTTATATCATATGTTTATTTGGCATTTGTATTTCTTCATCTGAGAATTGTATAGTCATCTTGGATGCCCTTTTTTTTGATTGGGTCTTTAAATTTTGAGGGGCCTGATATTTTCAATTCTTCATATGTTCTAGACATTACTCCTTTGTCTGGGGAACAACTGGCTAAATTTTTGGTTGTCTTTTCACTCTGTTGGTTATTTCTTTTGCTGTGCCAAAGCTCTTTAATAAGATGAGATTCCACTTGTTAATTATTTGTAGTATATCCAGGGCGATCAGAGTTTTGTTCATGAAAGGACCTGAGTTTTCTAATGGTAAACAACAGAATGACGGTGACCTGAGTGAATAGGAAATGCATTCTTCCTTAGAGTCTGTTAGACAGAATGCAACCTTAATTTTATTTCAGAGGTATATTAAACTTTAGTCCTCTATAATTACAAGATAGTAAGTTTGTGTTCTATTTGCTGGACTAATACTAAGTGTAGTATGGTCTGGTACAGCAGGAATAGAAAGTAGCACAAATATCACATCATCTTGCACATTGTGGTTTCAAATACTTTGAATACTCCGAAGTTCCCAGCCTTAGGATCTCCAATGGACTCCACAATGTAAAAATCCAACTCTTCAAAGGAATCTCTGCTTGGCTGATGGGTATCTACAACTTGGTGTGTCTATATTTAAATTCTCTAAACAGGCTTCCCATACAGTGCTCATGTCTCAGTACATGACATCTCTACGCTTATATTTGTTTCAGTGACAAAAACACAAATACTACAGTGTCTTCATTATGTCCATGAAGCAAGTCCCTGAGCCAGTGTGACCAGCATCCCTCAGCTGGACATTTGTGGTAGCCTCAGTCTCCTTGGTTCTCTTTTCAAATCCATAGACCAGCATCCACAATGATCCTTTCAGAGTGTAATTGGCATCTGTCTCTCTTCCTTTAGTGGATAATGTTTGAACAAACATAAGTCATCAAGACTGATTTACATGAGTGTATGAATGTACAAAACACACACACAAAATATTGCAAAACTTAATGCATTTTCTCCTTTAAGATCTTAAAGGCCAAATCCTATTTTTAGTAGATCTCTTCAAAATCTTAAAGAAGAGATCATTATTGTTTTCACAGATATATTTACAAAATTTGTAGGAAATAAATAGATTTTATTTACAATTTGGGAAACTGGACAAAACAAAAAAGGGGAATGAATTCCCCCTTTAATCATCCAGACGATTTGCGAAACTCTCACTTCCCTTTCCTTGGTGAAATCAACTACATTTCCAAGCAGCATGAGGATGGGAAGGACTTTTATCAGCATTATCACGTCCCTGTCCCTGGTGGGTCACACAGAAGGCTGGAGTTGAAGTGACTTCTGGTTCTGGGGGTGCTGTGCCTCTTGTAAGGGCTGGCTCAGTGCCACCTGACAGTTCTGGGGAAAGTGAGACTTTAGGGCTGGGCATAGTCTATGTGATTTGCCAGAGTTCCCTAGAGTCTGGGAGTGTCCTACAGAAGGAGGCTGCTGGAGGACTCCCCACCTTGGGCTTTATGATGGCTTCACCAAG